AGAATAAGTACGAACGTAAAGTGCGTAGCTAATTTCTTGCGGAGTCTAGAAACGAAAACTAGCTGAAAGCCTGCAAAGAAATCCTCAATAGAAGACACAAAATAAAAAGCAGTTAAAGTCATTAAATGTTCTGTGCCAAAAATCTTCTAGTCGATAAAAAATTAAGTACATGTTGATCCAGTTTTCACTAAAACTGGTTTTATACTCGATGACAGGAACTCGTTAGTTCAGTCGAACAGTCATCCGGATTTTTGTTCATTTTTATATCGGTCAAGATAAATCAGTCATGAATTCCACCATGGATAATAGAAAGTCTTTCTATTATCCATGATTCCACAAGAATTGGGTCGCTTTCACCTTATAATACGAACAAAGTTAAAATGACAATCTACACAGTATTCGTTGTTCACAAATCATTCGAAGCATAGCTTCGAGCAATCCCATTTTTCGCTGAAGTTAGACACCTCAGTTCGCGGTTTAAAGGCATGCAGTATAAGTGAAAGCATCTTTCTTGGGAGGGCAAACTTCGAAGTGACTACCCTTGCCTTCAATACTGAAACTTAACCTCAAATCAACAAATGTGGCTTAATTTGTCCTGGAACAAACCATTAACCCTCTTTCAGAGAGGAAGCGGTTGTGTGTTCGTTTCTCTTTCCAAAGTTTCTTTTTAGCATCATTTTCCTCGTCATTTTAATTTGAGGTCCCCTTTCGGTTGAGGTTGTCAGAATTATTTTAAGCACCTTCAAAGTAACACGATAAGTATATATTGCTGCAACTGAGCTTCGAGAATGTCCATGAACTTAGCTTCATTCTTTATGCTTGACCTTGAGTTAGATAGTGACACATATTTATTACAGCGGAAACGGGCACTTAAAAGTATGATTATAGGTCTCTCAGGTAACCACCGTAGTATCAACAAAGTAACATAAGTGGATCAAGATCGCACTTTTAAACGCGGTTTTAACGTGAAAGAATGTATATTACACGAACGAAAATAAACTGTTCGACACTTGAAAGTTTGAATAGTTGTAAGACTTGCTATAGGTACAAGTAAATCAAACCAACGTGAAGTACATAGCTTGCCCCGTTACCATGGTCACAAAAAATGGACAATAGCAAACTTAATTTTATATTTTTATCAAAAACAAATAAAGGAAAATTCATTTTAATGCTAGCGCACATGTAAGAGTCGAGCACCATTACTTAGCGACCATTTATTAATACCGGGAGTACTCGATGCCAGCGAAAGGGGTACAGGCTTCAAGCCCTACTTGTAAAAACAGCTTCCGAGTGCTTTGGCAAAAGGGCCCGGGAATTAGGAAATTTATATGCTTCGCGAACTTCGTTGAGTTTGAAGAGCGTTTTCAAAAATTCAAGTAAGGCTGGGTTGCATTTTGTAAACATATTTAGTCAAGTAAACCTCCATTGTTCAAAATATATATATATATAAGGCTGAACGTGTGGTTCTTTTCAGGAAATGAAGAGGCCTGTCATGGAACAAAAAATTTTGTTCAGGTCCGCAAAATATATCAAACAAGACCAGCTATCACAGGTCACTATGAGATCAGTGACAGCGATGGTACAAAAGAAACGCTTTATCAATACGACCTGAAAAAGCTTGTGGATTACAAAACTGCAAAATATTTTCAAAGGAAAAATTTCCTCTATTTAAAATGGAGCTGTGGATTTTTAAGTGTCGTGCCCAAACAGGCTCTTTCTGGAACGCCATAATATCATTGCATTCTGGCGCTAAAAATATAGCTAATTAAAACCTTTAACCTAAGTTAACCTCGAAGGAAATTCCACCTTGATAACAGAAGGAAAGCGAAGTCGTATCAGAATCTTATAACTTCCTACAATGTCCCGCCGGTCAAGGTTACTGACTCCTTATAATTACACTTTCAATAACAGGAACTGAATTCCATTTCATTTCGGGTCACTGTATACATTTTCTCGACCGTTTCACCGGAAGCCACAAACGAGAAGTTATGGATAACAAACTATGGCGTGATTAATCAAATGAAAATTGTCACAATCTTTAATGTACCTGAAGTGACTCGGGGAAGGGCCTTTTTAACAATACCGCTGAGGAAAAAAAGGGAACAAAGTATTGGCTTTGAATTGTTTTATTGCAAATGGTGACTATAGAAAATTCCCCACAATACCGTACCTTGATAGCTCAGATAGGTGATATTTTTGTGAAGTTGCATTTATCCGTTGACAACGCTTGGTCATCGTATGCGAAAGAGCAAAAACAGTAGTAGGAAGTCAGTCAATAACGAGACAGACTCTCAAACTAGAAGTGTATCGATACTACTAGAACGGAACTCAGCTATGAATACAACGAGTATTGTTAGGTATACCGTATTACCGGGGGTTCTCCCGACGATGGCCTGTAGGGAGGCTCCCGCGAGAGGGGAACAAGCTTTAGGGGTACAAAAGGGTAGGGAAATCTGTCTTTTAGATGTCCAAGAGGGCCCTGAACAGAGCGTTAAGTGAACAAAAAATTCTTTTTTTTTTTTTGTGAACTTCTCGATAATAACAACTCCAATGGGTTAGAAAAGAAATGAAGTGTTCTTAACTGGATATGTTTAAGGAGTATCATTTTTTTACGAATGGGGTACAATTTCTACTCACTTACTCTTAAAATGCTTAAACGCTTTCGCATTTCTGTCTAAATAGTATGTAAAAGGGAAACGGGTCGGTTAGACTTCGGGGAGGAGCCTCCTTTTGTAACACTTTGTCGGGAACTATTCCCCTCCCCCGCCTCACCTGCCCCCAACTTCCACCCTCTCGAGATAAGTCCCACAGAGTATGGGCTTTGCACCATATTGATTTCTCCGCCTGTTCTTTAGGAACCAGGACAGCGTACGAACAAAACTCTCTTTGATAGGCTCTGTTTCTTGTTTGTCTCGCGACATTAACTTTCTGCATTATTGAACGCGAAAAGAGATTTTTTAAGTGATTGCTGCATGTCGGACCTTAGTTTGCTACAAAGCCGTTTTATATTGCGTAACGACACTAATAACGGCTGTGTAGAAGACTAGTCGGACCTCACTCATCATGGGAGAGATACAGTACCCCAAACATCAAAGGCGGTTCAAATACAAATAGACACTCAAGCGATAGGCATTTCTCAAGCAGACGGAATCGTCTTACTAGCACGTGAGTTACTTATAAACATACTTCTATATTTCAGTTCGAAATAGGATTAAAATTTTAAAAAAAATACTAACAAGGTTTATCTCTCTCGATTTTGATAAATTAATGAGAATTATAATTATAACATATCGGAAACGCGAATCGACAAAAAAAAATACAATTGGATTTAAGCCAGGTGGACCTCAGTGAAAAGATTGTATTGTAAAACTGTAAACTTCCGCCTATAGCGGGCCCCTCGTTATAGGCCCATCTATACCAGTAAACAAAAAATGCATCCGGTTATAAGGCCCCTCGGATATAAGCCCCCTTCCCCTCTAGCTTGTATTGAAATGAATTCAATTTTCGACGTTTAGAAGCTTAAAAAGGCCAGAAAATTGAAAAATTATTATGATCAGCACCGCTATGGACGCTTGTAAGGGCTTATAAACAGAAATTCACGGTATTTATTTATTGTTGATATCTGCTAGAAGTGAAATAACAGTGACAAAAGAAAGAAATTCATCTTCCCCGTGAAAAATAAGGAGAAGCGTAGCTACATCGAGCGCTCTTCTTTTGCTTGTTTTGTTTTCCGTTTTTGTTTTCCTTTGTTTGCTTATTATCATCATCATCATCATCATCGTCATCGTCATCGTCATCATCATCATCATCATCATCATCGTTATCATTATCATTAAAAGAAAATTACGAACGAGTCTATAGTACGGAGTCTAGAGTCCAAGATTCTTACTTTCGACTATGCCAAACGGGGCAAGACTTGACCCGCGATTTCGGGTTAACAGCGCGANCTTAAAATGCTTAAACGCTTTCGCATTTCTGTCTAAATAGTATGTAAAAGGGAAACGGGTCGGTTAGACTTCGGGGAGGAGCCTCCTTTTGTAACACTTTGTCGGGAACTATTCCCCTCCCCCGCCTCACCTGCCCCCAACTTCCACCCTCTCGAGATAAGTCCCACAGAGTATGGGCTTTGCACCATATTGATTTCTCCGCCTGTTCTTTAGGAACCAGGACAGCGTACGAACAAAACTCTCTTTGATAGGCTCTGTTTCTTGTTTGTCTCGCGACATTAACTTTCTGTATTATTGAACGCGAAAAGAGATTTTTTTAGTGATTGCTGCATGTCGGACCTTAGTTTGCTACAAAGCCGTTTTATATTGCGTAATGACACTAATAACGGCTGTGTAGCAGTCTAGTCGGACCTCACTCATCATGGGAGAGATACAGTACCCCAAACATCAAAGGCGGCCGTCAAATACAAAGAGACACTCAAGCGATAGGCATTTCTCAAGCAGACGGAATCGTCTTACTAGCACGTGAGTTACTTATAAACATACTTCTATATTTCAGTTCGAAATAGGATTAAAATTTTAAAAAAAATACTAATAAGGTTTATCTCTCTCGATTTTGATAAATTAATGAGAATTATAATTATAACATATCGGAAACGCGAATCGACAAAAAAAATACAATTGGATTTAAGCCAGGTGGACCTCAGTGAAAAGATTGTATTGTAAAACTGTAAACTTCCGCCTATAGCGGGCCCCCAGTTATAGGCCCATCTATACCAGTAAACAAATAATACATCTGGTTATAAGGCCCCTCGGATATAAGCCCCCTTCCCCTCTAGCTTGTTTTGAAATAAATTCAATTTTCGACGTTTAGAAGCTTAAAAAGGCGAGTAAATTGAAAAAGTATTTTGATCAGCACCGCTATGGACGCTTGTAAGGGCTTATAAACAGAAATGTACGGTATTTATTTATTGTTGATATCCGTCAGAAGTGAAATAACAGTGACAAAAGAAAGAAATTCATCTTCCCCGTGAGAAATAAGGAGAAACGTAGCTACATCGAGCGTTCTTCTTTGGATTGTTTTGTTACGTTTTTGTTTTCCTTTGTTTGCTTATCATCATCATCATCATCATTATCATTATTATAAAAGAAAATTACCAACGAGTCTATAGTACGGAGTCTGGAGTCCAAGATTCTTACTTTCGACTATGTCAAACGGGGCAAGACTTGACCCGCGATTTCGGGTTAACAGCGCCAACGAAAACTTATTACTACAAATAATCAAGTCCTGATAACATTCCACATGAACTCATCCTAGGACTATTTCACTCAGTGGCATAAAGATCCATAAAAGCATACTCTCCCCGACAACAGTCAACTTTGACCATTTTTGTAAACTGTTTAATAACAACATCTTGTCCCTCTCTTAATCCTGTAAACATCTTGAATACAGCCCGTCTTAGTCAACGAGAGACTACTAACTGTATGCTGGTAATCAGAGAATGCAAGGAAACTGCGACTTTGAAGTCGCTAAAAACCAGTCAGAAAGGTCTTTAAGGGCAAAGTGTCTCAACTAACTTTGTGACTAATTGCAACTGCTCCCAGATTTCGGGAATTTGTTTAAAATTACCTTTGGAAAGAAACGTTGATACCTCGGAACAGTCATTACATTTACAGGACCTGGAAGGGTATTCCCGGATAAGGGATTTGCCCAAAATCCAGAGCCAGATTTGGAAAAACGTTGACGGGATATGGGATTTAACTGTTACCCGAGAAGCGGAATTCGCCAAAATTTGCGCCGGTGTCACAGCGTTTTGGGCATCCCCATTCCCAAATCCCTAGCGTTTTGGGAATCCCCTTCTCATATTACTGCAGCGTTTTGGGCATCCCCCGGTACCCTCCCGGGATGCCCAAATCGCTAGTGTTTTGGTCATCCCCTCCACAAAAATGCTGGATTTCGCGGGAAAATCGAAAACGTTTTAGAGATGGCTTCCGCTAAATATAGAAATCTTTTCCAGTATCTTAAAAAGAAGGCTTATCCGGAAGGCTTTACGAAGCAAAAAAACGACTCTGCGAAATTTGCCAAAAAGTTCGAGTATGACTCAAAATTAGAGTCCTTGTTCTAGGTGGCAAAGGAGAAGGATGGCACAGCGCTTCGACAAATTGTTCACCGAGGAAGAGAAAGCGAGGGTCTTCGAAGAGTGCCACTCTGCTCCTTTTTCTGGACACGCCGGCCGAGATAACACTTTTGCACCCTGTGAAGGTTGTTCCCAAGGTGTGGTACTCGGTCGGAATTGATTTAATAGAAGCCCCTACTACATCTCAAAACGGCAACAGATTACTTCTGTCCCGTAGGTGCAAGAGGCCTCTGTATAAATTGTGTGACAGCCTTTTGTGTGTCAAGTAGCGCTGCGGGGTTAAGTTGTACAGGCCTCAAATGTCATGCATACTATGAATTCAACACCGCAAAACGCAGTTTTATTCATGTTTGTCTTTTGATTGTTTTGTTTAGTATTCTTGTTTTTGGCTGTTTGGAATCAGACGATCGCAGCTGCCGGCGATTGCGGCATTTCTCGCTGGTAAACAGTTCTATTAAATAAAATTGAAGCTTTGCAAACAATGAAGCGTTGTACAGCGAAGGGATGTTATGCGGTTGTAAATTTCAGTTTCGTCCCGTTTTGAGCCAACGTTTACTGCCTATGGGTTTTTTTTTGTGCGCAATAAACCCGGTGAAAAGTGTCAGACGATATAATTCTAACACGCATCTACACTATTCAGCCGTAAATTCGTGATTGACAATCCCGACTTTTCCCCAGTCTGAAATAATTTAGGCAAAGTCGAAGCGATCAGTGTTTTGGGCATCCCCCACCGGGGATGCCCAAAACGCTAGGGATTTGGGAATGGGGATGCCCAAAACGCGGGGATGCCCAAAACGCTGTGACACCGGACACGGATGAGGACTGGGAAAGAAAATGACATTCGGGATAGCAATGAAAGTAGTTGAGCGGGATGCGGGATTATCGTGAAAAAAGGGGAATGCGGGATCAAGATCCCCCTTTCCAGATTTAGTAAGGGGAGTGCATGCGCGCGCGACGAGAAACGAGGGCGGCAGCCCGAGAAGAAAAAAGAGTAGTCTCTCTTTTGTCGTGCCTCTCCCGTCTCGCGCCTTCAGCCACGCGCGTGGTCATTTGCGTGTGTCGGGCGTTTTGCCCGACGGACAAACAAAAAAGAGAGACTGCTCGTAGTCTAGGAATTCAAAGGATCCTGAAATCTTTTAAACTTAATACAAAGATAAATACCGCTGCTGAAAAGAACGCAACTCACCAAGGAAGCCAGTGATCTTGGGCATCCAAGTCCTCTCATTTCTATCCCAGGTGTCCCTTTTTTGGAGAATTGTGTTTACGATCGTAGACGACGTATTATTGACATTTTCTTGAATTCTGGGCCTCCCTCCCTATGAACAAACTTGATTGGGTAGAAAAGGAGCTGATGTAGCTAGAAATGGTTGCTGAACTCAAGTGGCGCTCATCCTGCAAGTAAACAAAGAAAATGACTGAAGCTTAGAAATAAGACAGGAAAGGATGAAATTGTCATTCCTGTATTAAGGCTTCATATTTATTTCAAATGATCAATCATTTAAGGATCTTTTAAATGAGCTGTTTCAGCAACCTAATCTAAATTCAAACAGTGGGAACTGGCACAAAATTAAGTGAAACAAAGAAACAAAACTCAGCCAGAAGACAATAAATTAGAATATTACTAAGCTATGGGCACCCACTAGTGTCTGCATGACGTGTACCTGTTACAGGTTAGGGGACAGCATGGGACTTAAAAAAGTGGGCCATAGTTACCTGGCAAGTGTTCTAAGTGATAAAGAGATCACTGTGGACACCCACGTGCCCCTCTTCCCTGCTGTGAGGAAATCAAAGAAATTGTAGAAGGTCCCTATCATGCTGTCAGCCCAATTGCTGGGATAGGAAAGGCCCACCATACCACCAGAATACACCACCTGTGGGCTCAAAGTACAGAGAAAAGATGGGAGAAATATTTTCAAGCAGAACAGTACTGGGCTCTCTCAGTCCACTCAGCAAAAAAAAGAGAGACAGCTAAAAAGACCAATATTCCCCATGAGGTTATTTCAGCAATTTTGGAGGACTCTAAATTATCAGTGGGCAGCACACTCCAAAGGTCATAGTCAGGTAGGTATTTTATTGAGGGCAGGGGTTATGTACCAATCAGTTATCCAAGTTGGATTTTAGGAAAACTCCTCCATTCAAAACAAGATTAGACGGTAATACCTGTATAACTGGTATTTGTGTTGTGGTGAGTCCCCTTTCAGAGACAACTTGACATTGAAATAAGCTTCCACACTCTCCTACAAACACACACATCTGCTATTTTTTTTCTACCTTTGGTGTAGAGTCCTTGAGGGGTCCCATGTAAAAGTGATGGCTATGCCTGTAGGAATGTTGAATTAAAAATCTCTAAATAAGTGTCTCCTCATTTTCTTTCATTTTATTGTACATGTACATATGTCTATTGTGGTATCGGGTGTAGCTGAGAATGGATTTATTAATGGAGCTTAAAATGAGTATGAAGAGGTGCCTAGATTTGGTGTATAGTTGACACCGCTAAAAAATGACATAATAAACAGGCCTGCAATTAAGTATCCTTTTTAGAAAGAACGTATATGTCCAACCAGGTCGATATCATAGGTAGACGAACCAAAGATGTTTTTGGACATACATAGAGTTGATTTTTGATTTCTTTAATTACAAGGCAAACATTCAATAGCCCATTTTACAGATACAGGTGGAATTGGAAACTAGGCTGGAGTTAACCTTGTTCTGATACAACCCTTCCTGCTTTGTTATGCAAATAATGTTGTTCTTATGCTAACTAGTATTTTTTGAGTATAATTTCTATAAGAAAAGGAAAAAGGTTTGTATCAAATCAAGGTCAACCCCAGCCTCATATTCACTCAAAGGCTGCGATACTAAGCTGTAAAATGACCTATTACAAAATGATAGTCTTTGGTATTTGATCTATCCACTCATCATGTCAGTTGCAGGCAGGATTTCCACATACATGGGCAAATTCTAATTAGTCAATGTCGGATGACCGACAGTTATTTACGGCTCTGAATAAATAGAAATGCATATTGGAGGAACATGATGCAGGGCTAAAAACTGGAAATTCCGAAAAGGTAGAATTTTCAAGGAAAAGTTATCAATCCACAACCATTTTTGACTAGGAGGTTTTGTGAGCCACCAGTAAAGAAGGTCCCAGGGAGACTTTTAGAAGGATGAAGATGGCAGACAGCCTGGGTTGACAGAACACCTAATAACCAGTGTTCCAGATATGAGATGGAACTTGGGCCAATGACCTGACAGAAAAGGTTTCCCAACCCGACAGATAAAATATAAAATTAATGTTTAGTTAAATATAACAAAAAAAATTAGCTCGTGGTCGCCTAAAAGAATTAACTGGAACACTGCTAACACATGTGACTTGAGTGGGTTCTTTACAATGACGTTTTGCCAATAAAGTCAACAAAAGGACTCCCTGATGTGAACCTTTTAAATATTTTGGATAATGATTCATAAAGCACTGTTTCCCACTTCCAGCCACCAGTGAGAAAGCTTAACAATTTGAAGTAAGAGTAAGCTCACCTTACCACAACCATACAAATTTTGGCATTATTATTATATATTTATAACTGGGGGGCGCTTGCTTATTTTGACTAGGCAGATATGTGCGGCTGAACAGCTAGGGTATGGTTTTCAGGGTCTTGAGTCTTAAACAGGGTATACAATTTCTCTATTTGGCATCTTTAACAGGGTTTGTTTTGGGACAAAAAGCCTTTAAAAGTATGTGAAGGCAGCAGATGGGAGGTCAGCATTATTTTAACATTTGTGGCACCAACAATTTTTCCAAAACATATATTTCCATTATATAAGTTTGCAAATTACCTGGCCTAATTCTACATATGTAAAACAAAACGAATCAACGTCATAAAATAAGGTCTTCAACAGGGTCCCCAAATGAGCAATTTTTATCTTTTATCTTTTTATCTTAAACAGTGTCGGGTTTGAAGGCTTCAGTGGCATACCTCTACCCAAACGATGCTTCCCCCTGGATTTATACTCTATAGACACAATCCAGGGCTGTCAATAAGGGCCGGTACCAAGCCAAAACCGCCAGCTAGTTAGCCATCCTTAGCCGGCTACTTTCATTTCCTTCTACCATAATTGCTAACAAAAAATAAGTACCATCGAATAATGATGATCACACATATTTAAACAGGCTTAGATCTGTGAGAAGTTCGAACCATGTGATGTCATGAAATGCCTGGGACATTTTGATGGCACTGTTCCCAGTCTTGCGTGTATTCGGACGAAGCAACATGGCGTCCGCGGTGGTTATACCACTTGAAAACCCCTGGAAATGGCATTTCTCAGACTTTAAATTCCAGAATGTCCCTAGATGCCTCGGCCCTCAAGAACTTGTGCCTTTGGTGCGAGTTCCAAAGCCGCCTACTGTTCGTTATCAGCCTGCTACTTAAAAACTTTTTAACAGTCCTGGAAATCATGCTTAATCAAAACACAACTCAAAATGAGAATTATAATTATAACATATCGGAAACGCGAATCGACAAAAAAAAATACAATTGGATTTAAGCCAGGTGGACCTCAGTGAAAAGATTGTATTGTAAAACTGTAAACTTCCGCCTATAGCGGGCCCCTCGTTATAGGCCCATCTATACCAGTAAACAAAAAATGCATCCGGTTATAAGGCCCCTCGGATATAAGCCCCCTTCCCCTCTAGCTTGTATTGAAATGAATTCAATTTTCGACGTTTAGAAGCTTAAAAAGGCCAGAAAATTGAAAAATTATTATGATCAGCACCGCTATGGACGCTTGTAAGGGCTTATAAACAGAAATTCACGGTATTTATTTATTGTTGATATCTGCTAGAAGTGAAATAACAGTGACAAAAGAAAGAAATTCATCTTCCCCGTGAAAAATAAGGAGAAGCGTAGCTACATCGAGCGCTCTTCTTTTGCTTGTTTTGTTTTCCGTTTTTGTTTTCCTTTGTTTGCTTATTATCATCATCATCATCATCATCGTCATCGTCATCGTCATCATCATCATCATCATCATCATCGTTATCATTATCATTAAAAGAAAATTACGAACGAGTCTATAGTACGGAGTCTAGAGTCCAAGATTCTTACTTTCGACTATGCCAAACGGGGCAAGACTTGACCCGCGATTTCGGGTTAACAGCGCGAACGAAAACTTATTACTACAAATAATCAAGTCCTGATAACATTCCACATGAACTCATCCTAGGACTATTTCACTCAGTGGCATAAAGATCCATGAAAGCATATTCTCCCCGACAATAGTCAACTTTGACCATCTTTGTAAACTGTTTAATAACAAAAATATTGCCCGTGGGGGGAAGGAAATCCCTATTCCTCATAAGCTCGGCTTCTCGGAGATTTCCCCGCCACAGTCACTACTCCCAAGTAATGTACAAATTTTAAATTTAATGTTAATTAACCTATTTATTATCGTTTTTATTCTGCTTGTAATTCATTGTGTGTGGCAAAATAATAAAATAAAATAACATCTTGTCCCTCTCTTAATCCTGTAAACATCTTGAATGCAGACCGTACTTAGTCGACGAGAGACTACTAACTGTATGCTGGTAATCAGATAATTAAAGAACACTGCAACTTTGAGGTCGCTAAAACCAGTCAGAAAGGTCTTTAAGGGCAAAGTGTCTCAACTAACTTTGTTACTAATTGTAGCTGGTCCCAGATTTCGGGAATTTGTTTAAAATTACCTTCGAAAAGAAACGTTGATACCTTGTAACAGTCATTGAAGTTACAGGACCTGGAAGAGTATTCCAGGATAAGGGATTTGCCCAAAATCCAGGGCCAGATTTCGAAAAACGTTGACGGGATGCGGGATTTAACTGTTACCCGAGAAGCGGAATTCGCCCAAATTTGGGCCGGACACGAATGCGGATTGGCAAGGAAAATGACATTCGGGATAGCAATGAAAGTAGTTGAGCGGGATGCGGGATTATCGTGAAAAAAAGGGGAATGCGGGATCAAGATCCCCCTTTCCAAATCCTACGTTTACAAGGTGATTACTTGAACCGGGACACTTTTATGGAATTCAATAGACTGCGAGCAGCCTCTCTTTTTCTTCAGATTTAGTAAGGGGAGTGCATGCGCGCGCGAGCATTGAGCGGCAAAGCCGCGAGACGCGAGAAACGAGGGCGGGAGCTCGTGAAGAAAAAAGAGTAGTCCCTCTTTTGTCGTGCCTCTCCCGTCTCTCGCCTTCAGTCACGCGCGTGGTCATTTGCGTGTCTCGGCTGTTTTGCTCGACAGACAAAGAAAAATGGGAGACTGCTCGTGGTCTAGGAATTCGAAGGATCCTGAAATCTTTTTAACTTAATACAAAGATAAATACAGCTGCTGAAAAGAACGCAACTCACCAAGGAAGCCAGTGATCTCGGGCATCCAAGTCCCCTCATTTCTGTCCCAGGTGTCCCTCTTTTGGAGAATTGTGATTTACGATCGTAGACGACGTATTATTTGAATTCTGGGCCTCCCTCCCTATGAACAAACTTGATTGGGTAGAAAAGGAACTAATGTAGCTAGAAATGGTTGTTGAACTCAAGTAGCGCTCATCCTGTGAGTAAACAAAGAAAATGACTAAAGGTTCAGTTAGAAATAAGACAGGAAAGGATGAAATTACAATACACAAAGTACAGATAAAAGATGGGAGAAATATTTTCAAGCAGAATGTTCAGTACTGGGCTCTCTCAGTCCACTCAGCAAAAAAAAAAAGAGACAGCTAAAAAGACCAAGCAGAGGATAGGGCCCACCCAGGACTGATTTGTTTGACTGATTTGGCAGGGCCCACCCAGACATTGATTTGACTTTTTGTTTTTTGTTGATTAGTTAGAATTTGGTCAATTATAGTATTTAGTATAATATAGAGATTTGCGTTCTCTAATTGGATAAGACCCATGTCATATTCCCCATGAGGTTATTTCAGCAATTTTGGAGGACTCTAAATTATTCGTGGGCAGCACACTCCAAAGGTCATAGTCAGGTAGGATTCTTATTGAGGGCAGGGGTTATGTACCAATCAGTTATCCAAGTTTGATTTTAGGAAAACTCCTCCATTCAAAACGAGATTAGACGGTAATACCTGTATAATTAGTATTTGTGTTGTGGTGAGTCCCCTTTCAGAGCCCACCCGACAACTAGTTATTCTCAGCATTGAAATCAGCTTCCACACTCTCCTACAAACACACACATCTGCTTTTTTTTTTCTACCTGTGGTGTAGAGTCCTTGAGGGGTCCCATATAAAAGTGATGGCCATGCCTGTAGGAATATTGAATTAAAAATCTCTCAATAAGTGTCTTCTTTTCTTTCATTTTATTGTACATGTACACATGTCTATTGTAGTATGGGTGTAGCTGAGAAGGGATTTATTAACGGAGCTTAAAATGAGTATGAAGAGGTGCCTAAATTTGGTGTATGGTTGACACCGCTAAAAAATGACATAATAAACAGGCCTGCAATTAAGTATCCTTTTTAGAAAGAACGTATGTCCAACCAGGTCGAATTTCATAGTTAGACAAATCAAAGATGTTTTTGGACATACATAGAGTTGATTTTTATTTTCTTTAATTACAAGGCAAACCTTCAATAGCCCATTTTACAGTTACAGGTGGAATTGGAAACGAGGCTGGAGTTGACCTTGTTCTGATACAACCCTTCCTGCTTTGTTATGCAAATAATGTTGTTCTTATGCTAACCAGTATTTTTTGAGCATAATTTCTATAAGAAAAGGAAAAAGGTTCATATCAAAACAAGGTCAACCCCAGCCTCACATTCACTCAAAGGCTGTGATACTAAGCTGTAAAATGGCCTATTACAAAATGATAGTCTTTGGTATTTGATCTATCCACTCATCATGTCAGACTGCAGACAGGATTTCCACATACATGGGCAAATTCTATAAGTTTGAAAATAACCTGGCCTAATTCTACATATGTAAAACAAAACAAATCAACATCATAAAATAAGGTCTTCAACAGGGTCCCCAAATGAGCAATTTTTGTCTCAAACAGTGTCAGGTTTGAAGGCTTCAGCGGCACACCTCTACCCAAATGTCCCTTAGATGCTTTCCCCCGGATTTATACTCTATTGACTATTTTCGAATTCCCCATAATACACTCTGTCTGCCCCCCAAATTTTGCATAACTTATTGTCTTAAAATGCTCTTGGGAAAATGCAATACTCCCAGGAGCATTAAAAACAATGGTTTATGCAAAATTTGGGGGGCAAACAGAGTGTATTATGGGGAATTCGAAAATAGTCAATAGACACAATCCAGGGCTGTCAAAAAGGGCCAGTAGCCGGCCAAAATCACCAGCTAGTTAGCCAACCTTAGCCGGCTACTTTCATTTCCTTCTACCATAACTGCTAACAAAACATAAGTACCATCGAATAACGATGATCACGCATATTTAAACAGGTTTAGATCTGTGAGACGTTCAAACTACGTGATGTCATGAAATGCCTGGGACATTTTGATGGCACTGTTCCCAGTCTTGCATGTATTCGGACGAAGCAACATGGTGTCTGTGGTGGAAAAATACCTCTTGAAAACCCCTGGAAATGACATTTCTCTGACTTTAATTTCCAAATTGTCTCTAGATGCCTCGGCCCTCAAGAACTTGTGCCTTTGGTGCGAGTTCCAAAGCCGCCTACTGTTCGTTATCAGCCTGCTACTTAAAAACTTTTTAACAGTCCTGGAAATCATGCTTAATCAAAACACAACTCAGGCATGGATCTAGGATAAATACTGACCGATTTCCTAAACGCGCGCTGAAGCTTCTAGGGGGGTGTGGGGACATGCTCCCCAGGAAAATTTTGGATTTGAACTCTCTCATGTCCTCTTTCCTGGGTTCTGAGTCATTCAGACAGGAAATTGGCCAGTTCCATTCTCCTCGGATGAAACATCAAATCCATTTTCCAGATTTCAACTTGGAAAGTGTTTTTATTAAAAGTATATCTACCTGGAGTTTTGAAAACCGGGTTGCCTGAAATCTTAAGTCAAGTCCAGCACATTGCAGGCAATCTTTTAAAACTTAATTTGCTTAAAGCCCTGATACTTTTAGTGTAAAAATAACAATTTCGCTCTTCAGGACTAACCACCCTCACCTCTTAACCATGGGCTTCAAATAACTTCCTGGAAGTGACAGAAATCAGTGCAAATTCCAGAAAATTTGCACGAGGGGGGCAACAGTC